ATTTCCTCCAAGGCAGGGTTCTCCTCTAAGGCCCGGGATTTCCTCCAAGGCAAGCCTCACATGACTCGTTTACCTCTTGTCAGTTAGCGATTACGAGTATCCCCTTCTTCCCTTTCCTTTTTTTACTCTTGATAATTTTTTTTCTTTTCTATTCGTATCAGGATTCAGTTCAACTCGGAGGAACAATGGACTAAAGCACTCAAATTCATGTTGACTAATCTAAAATGGGGCTTGGCCTGGGTATCATCACAATTTACAGACAAATAATAGTAAGACCACACAGGCATTTCTTCTTACATAATAGTGATCTTGACTAAATCGTCTAACATTTTTACCAGAATCATTCTGATCGTTGACACGGGACAGACAACTGATAGTAAGACCATACAAACATTTCTACTTACATGATAGTAATCTTGACTAAATCGTCTAACATTTTTACCAGAATCATTCTGATCGTTGACATTGGCTGTTATTATATATACATATATAACATATATATATATAACATATATATATACATATATATTATACAAGGTAAATCAATAAAATAAATCAATGTATATATATATTTTTTGCAGCGAAAGTTCCGTAGTCGTAATACCTCTGTTTTGTATTCTGTGCTATGATGGGATGATACAGATTGTGACAATGTCGACTCGTGCATTTTTTTCGCAACCTTATTAATATATTAAGTCTCAAAGCGAATATTGCTCGTGCTAAAACTACGTTGACTGATTGTGACTTTTGAAGAAAATATTGCAACCAAATCGAAAGTTTAAAGCGAATATTACTCGTTCTAAAATTCCGCACGCAATAAGTTTTCTTCGTTGATATGAGTTTTAAAGAAAATATTGCAAGCAAATCGTCGTTGATATGTAAGTTTAAAGCGAATATTACTCGTTCTAAAATTCCGCACGCAATAAGTTTTCTTCGTTGATATGAGTTTTAAAGAAAATATTGCAAGCACACCCTTGTGGTATTACCAGTACTATTCGGCTATGCAACTTAAAATGCTACAACGTTGGGCAACAATTTCCGCGACTGAYGTTGTTGCCGCATTTCCAAAAAAAAATTGGGGTATATATATTTACCTAATTTATATATATAAATTCAACTCTCGTTACAGTGGACACCCTCGAGACCGTCATTTGCTGTTCGTAATAGTGAGCGTGCGCAAGAACGAGTATTAATTACGGTCATTCCATTGTCAGTAATTTTGGCGGGGATTTTGCTCCTGTCCGTAATATCTGGGTGTCCGTACTGAATATCTGGGTGTCCGTACTGAATATCTGGGTGTCCGTACTGAATATCTGGGTGTCCGTACTGAATATCTGGGTGTCCGTAATGTCTGGGTGTCCGTAATGTCTGGGTGTCCGTAATGTCTGGGTGTCCGTAATATCTGGGTGTCCGTAACATCTGGGTGTCCGTAATATCTGGGTGTCTGTACTGAATATCTGGGTGTCCGTAATATCTGGGTGTCCGTAATATCTGGGTGTCCGTAATATCTGGGTGTCCGTAATATCTGGGTGTCCGTAATATCTGGGTGTCCTCAAGGCGAGAGTTGACTGTATTTGTACTGCGGTCGTACTGGTTTACTGCGAGGATCAGCTCACTTAGTTACCTAATTTAGTAACATTAGCCTTCTTTAAGTAGAATATTCAGTTACCTGTTTTAGTAACACCAAAATTAACGCAGCTGATCGAGCGCAGCCAAAAAGACTTGGCCGCCATGTTGGTTGATGCTGATTAAAAAGAAATGTACCGAACATGGCGTTACGCGTGATGTCACGCTACAAATTCGATGAAGAATCTATTCTATTTAGCTTGTTTTTTTTAGCTAATGGTCATTTGTATTATAAGGAATAAATCGGCAGTCTCTTTATATAAGATAATGGTGTTTCTGTTAAGGTTTTCGTGTTTCCTCTATATCAAGCTTTGTTGTGAGGAATTTGGTCAACAAACGACGGAGATGGCGTGTTGTTAGCGTCCCAATGAGACCGTGTGCCTTGTCTGTGTAATACTGCATGAAATAATAAGAGAAAAGTATCAAGAAAGGTAGTCGGGTACGCATTTGACAGCTCGGTTTCAGTTTCTGGAGACAAAACAATAAGACGTCTTTTCTTATGCGAAAAAAACATCCATTTGTCCTCCAGTTCTTTTCTGCTTGGATGTAATGTTTTCCCATGTCAGACTACGTGTTATTCTCTTGACAATAAGATTCTTTGTTTGAGTTGTATCCATATTCATGTGTGTCTTTTCACGTACAACCGTTAAACAAAGATAAAAAGATAATACTCTAGGGAATGACACGTGCTTTGGAAATGGTGGGAAAAGATTAGACCCAAGGTAAAAAGGGCTATCAAGAATTCAGTTGTGTGCTATGAGGTTTTGTATGATCACCTCCCGACGGCTATGTTAGATGGCAGGACAACAGAATTCTTTTACTCTCGGGAATTTGATTCTTTTTTTTTAATGTAAAACGATTGTATTGTTCCATTTCCTTCCCTCTCTTCTCTTTTCTTAGAAATGACTCGATTTATTCTTACCTGAACACGAAAGTCGATCTGCGCGTGGGTCAGCGCCTTCACCATTTGCGCAGTGTGCTGGTAGTGAACGTTGTCTAAGGAGCGATTAGATAGATATTGATATCATTTTTAACGTAGTTTCAAAGCAGTATAACATCAAAGATTTAGAAAACATGTTCTAAGGACAGAATTTGTTACCATGTTGACTGTCACAAGGAAAACAGAAACGTCAATGGAATCCTATAGCACGACGTTCTTGCTAGTATAGGTACCGCAAACCTAAAACGGCCGTTTTTTCGTCGAGCGTTTTCCTTCAAACTTTCGAAATTTAGCAAGACGTCATAACGAAGAATGCCATATAGAATTTCATTGATGCTGAGTGTTTCTCTGTGTTGGCGGGCGTGTTTATGGACCTGATCCCTAGCGATTAGCGGTAAAYCTGATGCTGAAAGTCTCTATTGACTGTTTAATAACTCATGTGAAAGCGTTATGCCTTCACCACACAAAAATGTCAAAAATAATACAATCGTTTACCGTCTCCCGAGCCATGTATGATGAGGTATGATACGTTAGCGAACTGTTTTGCTCTTGATAAAAGTGAGGTATACTGAAAAAAGAAGGAATCCTAGTTAGAAGTTGCCTGGATACATCATAGTCGGGTTTTGGTGTATCAGGGGGTGCCTAATATGGCACGTATTGGGTAGTTGTGCTATGATGTACTGCGGTACTGTGTACTATAAGGTGTGGTGTAYCATGGGGTGCCTAACGTGGCAAGGCTTGGTGAGTTGTGCTATGATGTACCGTGGTATGGTGCATCATGGGGTGCCTAACGTGGCACGGCTTGGAGAGTTGTGCTATGATGTACTGTGGTATGGTGTATCATGGGGTGCCTAACGTGGCACGGCTTGGNATCATGGGGTGCCTAACGTGGCACGGCTTGGAGAGTTGTGCTATGATGTACTGTGGTATGGTGTATCATGGGGTGCCTAACGTGGCACGGCTTGGAGAGTTGTGCTATGATGTACTGTGGTATGGTGTATCATGGGGTGCCTAACGTGGCACGGCTCGGTGTGTTGTGCCATGATGTACTGTGGTGTGGCGTATCATGGGGTGCCTAACGTGGTGAGGCCTGGTGAGTTGTGCTATGATGTACTGTGGTATGGTGTATCATGGGGTGCCTAACGTGGCACAGCTTGGTGAGTTGTGCTATGATGTACTGTTGTATGGTGTACTATAAGATGTGGTGTGTTGTGGTGTATGGCATAGGTGTGGCTTGGTTTGATTTGACTTCGTTTGGTGTGCTGTGGTCTGTAGAGTACTGTTGTGTCGTATGGTGTATGTGGCTTCGTTTGGTGTGTTGTGGTGTCGTATGGTGTGAGTGTGGCTTGGTTTGGTGTGTTGTGATGTYGTATAGTGTGTGTGGCTTGGTGTGAGTGTGGCTTAGTGTAAGTGTGGCTTGGTTTGGTGTGTTGTGATGTCGTATAGTGTGAGTGTGGCTTGGTGTGGGTGTGGCTTGTCTTGGTGTGTTGTGGCGTGACGTGATGTGATGGGGCCGGTGGAGTGTTTTCTCTACTTACATTATATCCATACATGTTATCTTCTAGAAGTCCCATGTACCGCTCAGTGTACGCCGTGTCTAGAAAAAAACAATTCCATTCGTTGGTACTACACCAATACTAATGACTCTCCGATGCGGGTTTTTCGCTAATATCAGAGGCATAGAGTATCGTAAAATTCATGAATAATTAATGAGGGTCTAAGCCAATCCATTTTCATAAATCAGGTTACGTGAATGACATAAAAACCTTACGATGAATATGCTAATTAGATGTAACCACTAGTGGATGTATACTGTTCTGATACAGGACTAGTGGTTGTTACTAATTAGCATATGAATTCAAAATGTCTCAAATGATTTATGAAATATTAGTGATTACAAGTTGTTTACAAAATTCGCGTCCGTGTTGTATCAGCCATACGATCACTCACCTCCGGCTCGTGATGGTATAGTGCAGTTTTCGTATGACTGTGAAAAGCTCAGTGCCGTAAGCGTGACGTGCCGTGAACATGATATTTTCTAGAATTTTAATTGGCTGATTTTTTTTTCACGCGCAATATGATTGGTCTAAAAGTGCCATGATCTTGGCGTGACCGTGTCCGCGCCGTGTTTATGCCGTGTTCCGGGTATTCGATTAGATGGAGAGTAAATTCTCGTGCAATGTGATTTGTCTGGCGTATTCCTTTATATGTCAAGACCGTGTTCGTTCCGTGTACTTTTCACAGTCATATGAAAACTGCACTAGCCGATACAACACGGACGCTCATATTGTAAACATTACTTAAATGTCATGATAGCGTGTGTGAGTGAGGGCAAAATGCCAAAAATACGAAACAAACAACCATTATCAAGGGCGGATCCAGGGGGAGGTTCGGGGGGGTCGCGACCCCCCTGTCATTCCTGAGGTCAAATAGGCTTCCTGTGGTAAAAATGCGACTGGGATTCCTTTGACCACAAAATTTACCCCTGAGACCCCCCTTCAAAAAACCCTGGATCCGCCCTTGATTATTACCATAGTAACGCCAGTCCGTCACCGGGGCAACTGCCATTCCAACTTTGAAAACACCAGAGTTCTTGGAGAGTACGTAGGTTGTTAGGTAGCCGCCATAGGACTGCAAGAGTTCAAAAATAATCAGTTTAGAGATTGAGACTGTGCAGGGGTGGTGTAGGGGTAGGGAGAATAGCTATGATCATCTTCACTTACCCATCCCCAGATGGCAAGTTTATCCTTATGCACATAGGGCTTAGTTTTCATATATCTAGGCAACAACAAGAAATAGCAGATCATATCATTGTTGAATATTTTGGGTGTAATAGACCTAACTCGTTGGTTTGAATGTTCGACGAAGAAGCTTTTGGTGGACGTCAATCAAGGCGTTTCCATGACATTCTATAGGCACTTGCCCTTATAGCTTTGTGTTTTCCGATAATGTTATGGAAACGCCTTGTGATTGACGTCCACCAAAACCTTCTTCGTCGCGACAGAAAAAATCGCTAGAGGGCGCGTGTGATTGAGAATCTGTAATTCCATCCCGACTATAACCGTGCCGTGCCGTGCCGTGCTGTATTTCACAGTCTCGCCGGGATGAGTGAGAATCAAGTGACAATTAAACTGAAGGTTTTAGGTAGAGGCTTTTCAAGTCTCAAGCTCTTCCAAAAATAGTGACAAAAACATTTCACAAACAGACACACAATAAATATAAAATAAATAAATAAAACAGTGTGTTTTGTCAATGACAATTCCAGACAACGTTTCTTACCGTCCGGCATTGATGGTGTCCACCGCCTCGTATTCACCAAGCTTTAAATATACAGCATGTTTGAACCTAACGTGATAAAGGAAAATAAGAATTCACTTTAAATAGATCACTGTTCTATTTAATCCCTTCATTTATCTACACCTTCATGTCTGTCTGTCCGATCTGTCTGGTTCTGTCTATTTGTATTTATAGCTGTTTGTCAAACTAGCAATCTTTCTGTTTGTGCATGGCCTTCCATGCCTCTTTCTTTGTTGTCTTTCCGTTCGTCCGTGCGTGCGTCCGTGCGTGCGTCCGTGCGTGCGTCCGTGCGTGCGTCCGTGCGTCCATGCGTCCGTGCGTCCGTGCGTCGTGCGTCCGTCCGTCCGTCCGTCCGTCCGTCCCATGTCTCATGTCGTCAGTTACCTCACCTTTCTCCTCGTCTTTTTTGTCCTCGTCCATCGATTCGTACTACGATGATGTCGAAGGTGCTGACCAAATACTCATTCCATCTAAAACCAAAGTATTCATACACCTAGAACAATAGAACAAGTGTGTTCGATAAATAAGCTGAAGTAACAAAGCAGAAAAAATTCTCGTGGCCTTACCTATGACAGCTTAATATTTCACCTCTGAATTTAGCAAAAATTAAGAAACGAGCTAAGGGACTGGCCGTTATTTCGAGGTAGGAAGGGACTGCCATGGCCCGCGTTTCCCCTGTCATGGCCCCACTCCCTCCCTCCCTCCTACCAAGGAAATATAATACTAAATACAAGCCTACATATACATTAACA